ATGAAAGGGACGGTTTTGGCACTGAGATCAAGTAAGAGCCAACCACAGAAGAGAGAGTCCCAGGGTACAAAAAACGTGGAGATGTAAGGTAGGACCAGGTTGGTGGCACTGGAGTCCAGGAAGAACCCAGGTGCTGTCATAAGGCTGCTGCTAGGTTTTGTTCCAGTTTCTATTTATTGGGAAGAATGATCATGTGTTGACCTCAGTGAGATCCAAGACTTTGATAGCTAAGATCTGTATAATCACTGGGAAAGTGAAAATTAGCCCCGCTAATGGGCACATGAGATTTCCAACAGGACATGGATGAAGCCAACAGAACAAAAAAGCTGGGAAACCAAGACAAGGCCATGCTGCAGTTGCAAAATGACTAACTCGCTCTCCAGCATCGCCCAGCACGAGACCAATCACGAGGATCCTTTCCAAGATGGCCTTGGGTTGCTGGATGGGAGTGGCTCTCGGCCGCAGGAAGCCACGTGACCCCAGCATGGGGGCACAGGAATGCTCCTGGGGTCACTCTGCATTGTGGGCTGCAACAGACTCATGACAATATTAGCCAGCATCATTCTTAAGAGCTGCCAGGCAGTTCGCTAAGAGCTTGACGCACAATGTGGGATGCTTCATGTTGTCATGATCCTCTGGGGTGACCGCTATTATTGCCACCTTCCGAGAGGGTGGGACTGAGACTTAGAGAGGAGAGCTATAAAGTAGCAGAAAGGAGATTCAGACGGAGTCCACCCCATTAAGGAAGCTTGTCTGATGCCATCTGCAAACAAGGGCCTTCACTAGCAAAGCTGTTCTCAGCATTCTGAGTGCTACTGAGGGCAGGAGCCCGCACTGGCTTTCAGGTCTGACCCCTAAGTGCTTGCTCTTAATCATCATATTTTACCACCTTCCTGCATGTAAACTCACTAAGCAGATTTCAGCCCTAATGCAAAATGCAGGAGGCATCCCATTCTAGTGCTCTTGTTCCCAGGAGAACTTACAAGATGCAAATACAAACACATCTTCCCTCCTGGGAGGCACTCCTCACCCATAGTTCAAAGGCACCATTAGAGTTGATAGCCTGGAGCGAGCACTTCCTTCCAGGAGCATCTGCAGAGTCTTACAGGGCTTTCCAGACCGGGCTGAGTTTGTGCTGCTCCCCAGGGGTCCCTTCTGATTTACAGACTCCTCACCAGCTTGTAGAACCAACGTGTCTGAGGCAGCTGTTGGCTTTTGCGGTAATCAAAACAAGGCTAATATTGGCAAAATAATAAGCAGGATATTGTGAAAGTTGCATCAATAAACAAAGTATTTTCCCACCCATTTGGTTTTGCCGCCCAAAAGCTAACTCTTGTATCCCTCAGCATTTGCTTCAGATGTGACTTCCTCCTAAAAAAATCAGCCAAGCAGTTTTCTTTAACGAGGCTCCCCTGACTCCCTTGTTTGGAAAAGAAGAGTCCCACTCGGAGAGGGAGGAAGGAGAGGTCGCAGAACAGGAGCCCTGGGAGGACTCGATGCGGGACTGATCCCAAGCTGCACAGTTTTCCCACTTGGAGAGGCAAGCTCCCTGGGCCTCTGTGTCTTCATCTGTCAGTTGGGGTGAAGACAAATCAGACTACAGGATGAAGTCACAGCGCAGTGACTCCAGGGGAGGAAGACAGAGGAAACGGCTCAGCCAAGGTCACACAGAGGGGGAGGCCCGCGCTAGGACGGGGTCTGCCTGGTACATATCCCCGGCTCTCTACCTGGCCAGGGGCCCTCCTCCACGGTCCCCAACCTGCCCAGCCACCCCAGCTCCAGCACAGCCCGGGTCAGGGACCACCAGGGGACCACAACCAGCAGGGGGCCAGGGGCCCAGCCTGGAGCAGGGGGAGGTCTGACAGATCAGGCTCCTGGGGGCACAGACCTGCGCAGTCAGTCTGGTAGGAAAGTCATGAGGACTCAGACGGGGGCTCAGAAGGGAAAAAGGAAGGCAGCCTGATCCAATGTCATAGTAGCCCTGTCTTGGGGGAAAAAAACAATCCTCTGAGCCACAGAAACCATAGTTTGGGGGCTGGAAGGGGTCTTAACACCATTCAAGTCAGGCACCACAGACCCCCTCCGGGTGGATATTCAGCCCGCAGGTACTGGCGCAGTTGTTAAAACGTTGACATCCCGCCCTACTGGCTGGAAAATAGCTGCTGCCCCCACCTCTCACCTCTGCACACCTGCGCAGCGGGAGGCCTCCCGTCCTTTCCCACTGGCCGGTGCCTGGGCCCTACCTGTTGTAAATAAAGCATCACCCCAATCCGAGGCCACTGTTAACTGAGGGCTCTTTGTCCAGCACGTCTTTCCCTCAGGCCCACTGCTGGGTTCCTTCTTTGGACATTACACTCATTTTCACAGTATCTCAAACCTTAAAGTTGCTTGACTTCTTTCCGGTGCCCTGGGATGATGGTAGGAGAGGTAATTGGTGATTCTAGGTGGGAAGGAGGATGCAAAGCTACAGGCTGCCCCCTGCTGCCCAAAATGAGTATTGCAATCATCCCCAGTAACAACTTTCTCCTAAAATGCACTCAGCCCATTAGTGGGAAGTTAGAGAATAAAGAAAAATCGATGCCCCCAGAATATTTTTTCCAATGCTTAAAATACCCTCAAATCCCAGGAATCCAGAGCCTTCAGAATACCAACCACTGAGTTTATACTGTGCATAGCCAAGCAAAGCTGTTTATGACAGACACTTTTCTTCTGCAAACAATTTAAGAAGAGACCAGGAATGGCAGTCAGCAGGGGATCAGGTCCTGGCTCCACATTTCCTGCCCGTGTAACCAGCGAGGGGGATGGTTTTCCTGAGCCCCCAGGCTCTGCACCCAAATCCAGATACGATCAGCACCCCCTCCCAAGGCTGTCTTGATGCTTTAGGGAGAAATGCAGGTAAGGACACTCTCAGTCCTGAAGTGCTACAAAAATGCTATTTTACTGTAATTATCTATCAGGGAATATTTAAATCATCTCCCAGAGCTCAGACTGGTATTGAAAATGTGGAGTGCTTAATTGCTGGAAATGATCAGGGACGCCCCTGGGGAAATGGGGAGTAGTTAAGTGTCAGCCCACGTGGCACAAGTGGAGAAGAGTTAACACAGCAGGCTCGAGACTGCTGTCCTCAAACGTCTGGCGCATAAGACTGGCCCTTCACTGGTGCCTGGGAGCCTGGATTTCAGGAGGGTTTCCTCCAGTCCCTGAAAAGAACATCTCACTGCACCTAAACTGTTTGCGCTACATTTCCAAAAATAGACAAGTTAAAAGAATGGCACAATGGGCACCCACATACCCATTCCTTAGATTCTACAGTTAACGTCTGATTGTGTTTGTTTTGTCTCATATCTGTCCATTCCTCTACCATCTATCAGTCTGAAATAGTTTCTAAATAAATTTTTAATTTTAGTTTTTAAAAACCATCCCCCATGGAAACATTCAGCTTCTACATATAGCAGGCACCTGATCATCCTGGATGCCCCTGATGGCTTTTTTGGTCCTGTTCCTTATCTCTGGCCAGGGGACCAGGGCTGAGGTATCTGAGCAAACTGCATGGCTGTTCCAGGCTGTTCCAAGCTACTCTGTGCCACAGCCTGCAGTCAGCCTTATGAGTGGATTTTCACACAGCAAGCACTGCCCTCTCTGGGCACTGGGTCCCATGGGCACACTCATGGGACCCCTTCCAGAGATTTGAGATCAGAGCCGCCGCTCCTGGGGCATAGCATGGACCTGTCCTGGCTACACTGAGGCCACAAACACTAAGAGGGAAAAATCACCAGGGAAGCCAATTTCTGGGCCCAAAGGGCTCCCAGTCCCTCTTTTTGGAGAAAATTTCAGTCACCAAATGCCAGCCCTTCTCATCTTAGCTCTGGAAGAAGAATAGAGGAAGGAGGAGAGATGGAGTCCCAGCCCCACCAACAAGTGATGTTGTTCCAGAAGGTCACACTCACTCAGCCCCTTCCTCATTCAAGTGCCGACGGTTCTTTGTGGCCTGACAGCTCTCACTGTGGCCCATGGTGATGTCATCTCAGCTGCTGGACCTTTCCTGATTATCTTTGCCCTGTGGGCTTAAAGGCAGCAGTGTCCCCACCGTGCACCACTAAACAGCCCCCTCTGCCCCCACGCAGCTCTAAACAGCTGTGGCCTGGGCTCCTCCCCTCCAGCCCTGATGCTGGCGCCCAAACACCACTGTTCTCTCTTGCATCCAAGCTTTTGCTCTCATCCCAGTTCTTGCACCTGGCAAATCCTTTTCACCTATAAAGACTCAGCTCCTTGGTTCCTCCTTTATTAAAGCAGAATCCGGAAGAGGTGCCCAGGGCAGGCGCACAGTGCCACCCCTGGCGCATTGCCCAAGCTGTGGCCGCACCTGGGACATCTCGTGGGCCCCTCTGCACTGCTGCATGGCTTTGTGTGCACGCAGCCGTCCGCCCGTATGTTTGCTTCCAGCCGTGCAGAGAAGGGAGCACACGGCCAGCTGGGTCTGCCCATGGTTCAGGGAAGGTACCGTGAATCTGTCAACACACACAGTGGGAAAAAGAAGCGGACACAGTCCAGAAGTGTAGGATATCTGGGGGCAGAAGCCTGGGTTGTGGGGTGGTGTTGGAGGACAGCAGCAGAGCAGGAGAGGCCTGGGGCCACCGAGCAAGCAGGGCTGGGTGGGTCAGAGCAGAAACAGGGCTGAAGCTTCAGAGCGTTAATCCCCACCCTGGGGCTCTCCTTGTTTCCTTCTGAGGATCTACACTCAAGCAGGAGCCCACGTCTTTGCTTACTGCCCCAGAAGTCAGGACTTCGGTCCTTCCTCCCCCCGCCCAAGCTGTACTGAGGTCTCCAGCCGGGGGCAGGAGGCAGAGCTGAGGGGCAGCTGAGCTGGGCACCCACAGACCAGGAACAGCTCTCTCCACCCCACCCTGGGGCTCAGACATCCCCCCAACACACACACAGGGCCCGCCCCTTCCCTGGCACACTGGGCAGCTGCCCGTTCCCAGGACAACAGTCAACACAGACAGAAGCCCAAAACACAGCTTGCTCTCTCCAGCCCCAAGGTCCCATCGGCCACTCTGAGCTCGGGGTCCAGGGGAGCAGTGAGGAGGACCCTACACAGGTTCTCCTAAGGTTAGGAGGGAGGGGGTGTCCTGGGAGAGGTCTGAGCTCAGAGAGGAGCCTCTGTCTCTGTCTCTCCCTCACACACACACACACATACTTGCACCCATGGGGGGATGCTGCCCCGCCCCTGGGCTCCAGAGAACCACATCAGCTGGGTACCGACTGCCCTCAACCAAGCCACCAGCCTTAGTCTCCTCCACTGCCCGGAGTCGCCCTGTGGCGGGCAGGGCCCTTGCTGGTGGCCACCAGGCCTGCCGGGCCCTGGGAGCTGAAGGTGTGCAGCAGGACCAGCTGTGGAGGGAGCTCCTGGAGGCCGAGAGGAGGAGCCAGAGGCGCTGGTGAGTGCCGTGCCCTGCCCTGCCCCCCAGCCTCACTCAGGGTCTGGGAAGCCCCTGGAAAAAAGAGGAACCTGTGGGTGAGAGGGAATCAGCCAAGGAAAGGGCATTGAGGGAAAAGTGCTTGGGCCCAGGGCCAATAGCACGAGCCGGGCCAGGGGAGGGCGCCCAGCGTTGGGGTGTACTCCAGTCTGTAAAGCCAAGAGCAGGGGCCAGTGCAGCCCCCACCTCGTCGTGCGTCCTGGGAGCCCATCCGCACTTTGCAATAATCCCTCCAGTTGGATAAACTGCAGGAGGAGGGCAGCTAGGAAGCCGGGCAGTGGTGTGGGGAGGGATGCTGGCCCCCTGACCCAGCCAAGGGCATCCCTTTGAGAGTCTCTCAGCCCAGAAGTTGCTAGGAGAGCCTGCGTGTCAGGCTGGAGGAGGCAAGACAGGCCTCGGCCTGCCCCCGCAGAGCCCTCACTCTCAGGACAGGGCAGCCAGAAAGCAGGCAGAGAAACAAGAAGGAACAAAGTGTGGCTGGTGTGACGAGGAAGACAGCAGGGCGGAATGGGCATCGTTCTTCCCGGAGCGCACCAAGGCCTCTCTGAGGAGGTGGCATCCACACTGAGATCAGAAGTAAGAGAAGCGGCCGGGGAAGAGTTCAGTGTCCGAGGAAAAGACCCAACAAAAAGAGTGTGGTGTGGCTGAGGCCAGTGAGGGGGCAGGAGCCACAAGAAGAGGAGTAGGACCCACCACATGCTCAGCAACGTCTGGATCATTTGGTTCGAATGTAACAAGGCGCCATGGAGAGTCTTAAGCAAGAGCTGGACGTGACCTGGTTTCAGTTTAAATGACCAGTCTGGCCGCTGTGCTTAGAATGAATTGAAATGGGGGCGGGGTGACAAGCAAAGTGACGTTTGAGAACTGGCAACAGCAGGGTGAGTCCGTGGTGACCTGAGCTCCGGAGGGGGGGTGGGTAGGAAGTGGAGCTGGAGATCCGTGGAGGAATCCAAGGCATGTCGTGGTGGGAGAATGATCAGAATTGCTGATGGATTGGAGAGAGGGTGTGTGTGCGTGCGTGTGTGCTCCTGTGTGTGTGTGTTCCTGTGTGTGTTCATGTGTGTGTGTTCCAGTATGAGCTGAGGTGCGGGGAACATTTACAAACACAGGGCCGTCCAGCGCATTTCATTTTTCCAACTACAAATAGAATAAAGGAAGTTTCCTTTAAAAAAAGAAAGAGAAATGTCTCAGAAAAACAATAAGATGTGGAGGGAGGGTATAGCTCAGCGGTAGAGTGCGTGGTGAGCATACATGAGGTCCCGAGTTCAATCCCCACTACCTCCATTTGAAAAAAAAAATGTTTAAAGATCATAGACTATCCTAATTTTTTTTTAAATAAAGAAAAACAGTAAGATGGAAACCACAAAAGAAGAACTGGAACCCCAGCTCCCTTGAAACTGAGCTCCCTGAAGAGAGAATGGGGGACATGAACTATTTGAAGCAGAAATGTCTGAGAATTTTCTAGAACCCTAGAAACGTATGAATGCACAGATACGGGAGGAGGTACTCCACAACCACAGGGGGACAAGCAAGGAAGGCATGGGGTCTAGAAAGGGGGCATCCCAGGGCTATGGGGAGGGGGGCGGGAGCACAGTGGTCCGGGAGCATGAGGACCCAGGGTCCTGGGGGGACGGCCTCTGAGAAAACCTTTAAAAGAAATTGTTCATGACCTGATACGTTTGATTGTGTGGAAAATAATCTTGAGAGGGCTTGCAGTGTTGTTGGAGGGTTTGGAATCCGTGATTAGTACAAGGAAATGTAAGATGATTGGCAGAAAATGTCATTGTTAACTTAAGAAAAAATTCTAAGCTGCACAAGAGAGGAACTGGGATCACATTGTGCTGTAAGGAGTATGATCAGTTTATCCATGAACAGTACTGACACATGAGAAGGACAGACACAGTACGTATCAAGTGAAGCAAAATCTAGCATACAATTACTTTGGAAGAAATGGAGAAGAAAGGGGCAAGAATGCTAATTCAGAGCCTCTCATAATAGTGGAGAGAATACGGCTCAGTGGTGGAGAACGTGCTCAGCAGGCACGAGGTCCTGGGTTCAATCCCCAGTACCTCCATTAAAAAACAAAAAACAGAATCTCCCACAGCAGAAAGCCAGTAGGTTACTTTACTATTTCAGCACCTCAAGAAACGGCAGTGTAGATTCATTATTTCAGAATCTGGAGGGAAAAGACTTGAAAAAACAGCCAAGAAACAGACTGGAGGCCGTGGGGTTCAGTGGCTGTGAAGATGAGGGCAGAGACTTTTATTACAAGTTTTAGAGAATTGTTTGACTTTAAAAAAAATAGATTGAAAATTAAACTATCGGCGCAGGTAAGGCCGTCTTCCTCATCGTCACGGTCCCCACCCCTCCCACCTTCCTCTGCCATCCTCACTGGACGCTCACCAAGCTTTGGGGAAGTGGAAACTGGTTTTCCTTCACAAAATACAGGCAGACCCCTCAGCGGCTTTCTGACGACGCAGAGGCAGGGGGTGAGAAGGTATCACAGCTTCCCGACGCACTTGCTCCACTTGGGCATCAGAGTTTCCACTCTTTTGAAACGTGTGTTCATTGTACAGGAAACACCATAAACCCTCGTTGACACTCGGCGTTTGTTTCACTTAGTTATTTTAGTTCCTCTATGACCTAATCAGTGCTCCAGCAGCAACTTATCCCCTTGATCCAGGGGAAACCATTGTAAAAATGTCACAGAGGGCTCACGCCGCCAACGTGTTTTCCTTTCCAGGGCCCAGAACTGGAGTTTCCTGAAAGACTATGACCCCATGGTAAGACAAACCACTTCCTGTCCGACACTCTCTCGCTTGCGATGTTTATTCATTCATGTTCTGTTTATTGAGGATTTACTGTGAGCTAGTTGCTGGAGGACACAGAGATGGATAAAATACAACCTCGTTTCAAGAAACTCAGGATCTGGTGGGAAAAAATACTTAGGAACAGCATTATAAATGGATTTTTCCCAATGTTTCTAGATTTTATTAAGAGGAACCAACTGGAAATGATAAGAATCAGTTGCTGAAATGTTTTCCCCAGCATGAGGATGCTGGCAACATAGAGTGATGTGAGGTTTGCCCCACACAGAGGAGGGGTGAGGGAGACACACTTTGTAAATTAATCCTCTGCAGCTAGTATCGCCACCTCCAAGCCATTCTCCACATTGCTACCAGAGTAATTTTCCTAAACCGCAAAGCTGACCACATCTCCCCCAGGCTAGAAGTCCCTCGGTAAACATACATTTTTCAGGATGGTTTACCCTGATCCAACCCTGCCTCCCTATGGCCCTCCTTGCTCTGCGCATGCGCATCCCCTGCCTGCAATGCCCTCCCCACTTTGTCAGCCCGATGGATGGCTTCGTATTCATCCTCCAAGACCCCGCCCAAGTGCCTCTGTCTGAAATCTCTCCTTCCTGAGCAAGGGTGACCGGATCAATCTGTCCTTCACTCACCAGCACTTCTAACCCATTCCTTGGGCACATCGTGTAACGGTGCAACCAGCGAGGACAGAGAAAGGCCAAAGAAGGCTTCATCACCGCACCCCTCTCCCCAGCGCCCAATAACTATTTAGCACTCAGTTCATGTTGGAGGAATGAGCAAATGGGAGAATGAATCTGGCTGTAAAAAGCATGATCAGGGAACCAAACTGCAAACTGAGCAATGTAGCAAGTCAACCAAGGCAGTGGCCTCGCTGACGTGGCTCTTGCGGGGTTTAGGGGAGGTCTGATGTCTGCATTGTTGGCCTTGCAAGGCTGCCGTCTGCCCTGTAATAGTTTAGTTCATGGGACCTGAAATCCTACACTGAGCTCCTTGTTCAGGCTTCTAGCCTGCAGAGTCTCTCCCTGCCCAGGGCTGTTTATGAGCAACCTGACCCCTGAAAATTGCATCACCCTCAGACGGTGGGGCCACCTTGGCACAGACTTTCCCAGGTGAGAACTGGGATCCTATTTCTTAAAACTGGTCCTGTCACTTCTATTCGACACGACACAGGGCAGCACAAAGTTAACCATAAACAAGGGCAGGGGTTGGGGGAGCTCCTCAGATTAGTCATAATTTACACATTCACTCACTCACCCATGCATCGGTTGTAGAAGTCACCAGAAAGCATGTTCAGGGCAGCACCCCTCCTAAGACCCCAAAACTGGAAACTAACCCTAATCCCCTCCGTGGCAGAACAGGTAAATGACTTGTGGAATATCGACCAAGTCACACAACAGGATACCATATAACACAGAGAAGGAATGAACCACAACCACAACAGGAACACACAGGAACATGGGTGAAACTCACAACGTGGTCTTCAAGGAGCCTGAAGGAAGACACACGATCGTTAAGGAAAAGTTCAAAGCCAGGCAAGCCGACTCCCTGGCGTTAGGAGGTCAAGACCAGGTCACCTTGAGGGTGGAGACAGTGACTGAGGGTTAAAAGAAGGTGTCTGGGGTTGATCCTGTTCTATTTCCTGATCCAGGTGCGGCTGGCCGGGCGCTCACTTTGTAGGAGTTGGTTGAGTCGTACAGTTGTGGTTTATGTACTTTTGTGTGTGTATGCTAGACTTCAGGTGAAAATTCACCCCAAACCAAAACCGCCCTTGTGTTGCTCCCACCGGGGGTGAGGCAGTGCCTTAGGTCAGGGAGATGGAGAGAGGGTTAAGATGTGGTCCCTTCCTCCATCACTGCTGGTCAAGCATCACAGTGGAGGGAGGCCGGGATGCATCTGTGTCGGGAGCCCAGGGGTGAGGAGGATGAAGTGGGCATCTCTGACTGGACAGCTGAGTCCTGGGTTCCACACTCGGGACCCCAGCCAGCGTCTGGCCTCTCCTGTTTTCCTGCCGTGTGTAACCCAACTGTCCCCTCTCCTCAGGGCAACAAGAAGGAGCCCGTGCAGTTGCCAGAGTACGTGCCTCTGTTCTCTGACACGGTCCCCAACTCCATGAGCCAGGTTGTGGGTAGCAGGGTGGACACGCCCCTGGGGAAAGCCCTCGTCGGCATGGACTTCTTCTTCGTGGAAGGAGTCCGGAAAAAGAAGCTAGAAGAGGAGCTGCAACCTGCCTAGGAGGGGGGGCCAGGTGGGCCGCCCCGGGGGGTGTGGGGGGAGTGGGGACACCGCCGCAGACCTGGCACCAGCGTCCCAGACAGCACCCCGCAGATCAGCCCGGGGTCATGATCTCCGCGCTCCACACCTTCCGTCAGAGGCCTCTGTGGGCTCATTTTCACACCTGAGATGGAGAGGACTCAGGGACCTACCTGCCCGCGTACTTCTTTGAGGAGGGGGTCAGTTTTCTGCCTGCCGCATATAGGGATATAATGGTACCGATTTTGCAAGGTTGTTGCAAGGATTAAATTAGTCACAGGGGCTGCTGAGAGGGCCGACTCTCGGGTCAGTCTCTCATCTCTTTCGTTATCTGTGTGAGAGTCAGGGCGGTCAGGGCGAGGCTGGAGCCGAGCAGGGCGAGTCTGCCTGCAGGGGAACTGAGTTGAGCCAGTGAATCACACAGCTTTGGGGGCCCTTTTACAGAGTGCATTGTTGGTGAGGTGGGAAACCCCAGGCAGGGCCACTACTCTCCTGCCAGCACCAACCGGTTCCCTGGCCCAGCGGCTCTATCTCACTCTTTGCCTCTGAAAGGGCTTACTTATAGGAAAATGGAACTTACCCCCTAAAATTCTATTGGTTCCCTGAGCTAACTCCTGATTGGTCCATTTATAGTACTTCATTTGCATGGTGCTCACTCCTGATTGGTTATTTCTCTCCCTCCTGATTGGTCCATTTCTACAAAGCTTGTTTCTAATTAGTCAACTTTTGTTATACCTTATTTACATATAATGTTACAAAGCGTAAACTGGCAGCCTATAAAAGCCTATGTAAATGTACAGGGTCCAGAGCTTGGAGTGTTAACTCCCCTAGGCAAGCTGGTGTAATAAACCTGAGTTCTCCAACTCTCCAACCAAGTGCTGCTTGGTCTCTCGTTCGGATCCAGGTTGCTGTCAAAACTGAGCTGAAATACGGAGCTGTAACACCGAACTGTAACACTGAGCTATAACACACTTATCTGCAACATTGGTACAGTCATGCAGTGGGACACACCAGCTCACTTCTTGCTCAGAGGTCCATGTGAAGCTGGGGGTCGGGTGACCTTGGACCCATTAGCAATTGCTCCACACCAGAGGAGAGTTCCGTCTGTCCCGTGGGCAGCCAGCACTCCCAGAAGGGTCAGGCCCTAGGCTCAAGCAGTTCTCTCACACCTGGTCCTGGGGGCCCAGGATAAACAGAGTCTAAGATGGGGAGGGTGAAGGGGTGGGTCCACGGCCATGTTGCAGGACCAGGAACTCCCAACCTGGACCACCTCAAAATGGGAATACCCTCCTTGCTTCAGCAGGTAAATGGAACGAAATAATGAAAGTCCACATCTGGCACACAGTAGGCTCTCAGATTCTAGACGCTTCTATAGTTGTCACTGCTGTTATTGATAAGCCTTTGATGCTTGGAAGAAAGCTCTTTGCTTCCCTGTTTTATTTTTCCAATGTTAAGGAACTGTCCACTGGCGAGCAGTCTAATTAGGGTGGAGGCCAGCGTGATTCCTACGGCAAGTGCCAAAGCAGGAACAGCTTGTACCAAAAGCATGGCATCTGAGAATGAGCTGAGGTTACCGAAACCATGGGGGACACCTAGTTAACTGTCTAGATTCCCTTTGCAGGGAAAACCTGAAATGACACCTCAACATACCTGAGACTCAATCCAAAACCCAGGATGAACAGGAGGTTCATGCTGCCTCCCTGTCTTCCAGAGGGGGCTTCTCCTCCCTGCCAGGTACCCAGCACACTCCTGCTCTCTTCCCTTCCCTGCCCCCAGTGGCTCACAGGAGAGAGCGCAGAACTAAGGAATTTCAGGTCCATGGCCAAGAACAGCTGGTTCCTGGTGTTCAGAGCAGCGGAGCAATATAGAAGAGGTGAGAAGAGAAGATATGGAGGGCAGGATGCTCTTGGCCCTGAGATGATCACAGACAGCCGTGGTGATGTGATGGTCAGTGGCTCTTTGGCTGTCTTGGCCAGAGTTCCTGCACCTTGGTCCTCAGTGCCAGCCTTTAGCCCTGTGGCCCAGACACCCTCTACTCCCCCTGCCTTGTGTCCTGAGCCCTCCCCAGCGCCCACATCTCCTTTTGGCTGCCTCCAGAGCACTGGGAGCCCTGCAGTCTGGCCTAAGTGACAGAGCCCTGAAAGGGGCTGAGGCGGCAGAGACTTCTAACAAAAGTGCCACTGACGCTGCAGGGCACCTGGCCTTGACCTCCATCTTTGATACTCAAACACATCAGACGACAACAGTTTAGATTAGATTTGCCTTCCACAATTCTTGCCACTCCCAGTGTCCAGTAAGGAATAAACAGAAATCATGTCTTCTGTCCAAAGCACCCCAGGTTCCAGTGGCGCTGGCCTGTGGTCACTGAGCCATGTGCTGAGGGCATGGCTCTGTGAAGCCACTGGCTGTGACAGTTGGCCAGCCATGAGGCTAGGGTGATGCCCTGGCAGTCAGGCCTCTCATAGGAGAGGGTTCCTGCCAAGCAGAAGCGTCCCCGGGAGGCTGGGAAGGCAGAAGGCACAACCCAGGACCCTTCCAGAAGCACAGAGATGCAGTGGCATGTCCTTCCAGGACAGCAGGGCCTGAGTGCTGTATGGGTCAGTCCCCAGCCTCCTGGTCACGGGACAATGTGGAGGTGGTGGCAGCCACTCCCCTCCCCGGGCAGGGAGGTTTACGGAACTGTTCCTCATATCTGCTCCTCACCCTTCCAGTGGCTTGGCACACTGCTTATCACCTCGAACAGTAAGTAGCCAACTAAAGAGGAAGCTTCTGTGGTCTGTAGTCAAACCCTCACTGACACACTTTTCTTGGCAGAGAGCTTCTGGACACGTCTAAGATCCAGAACATTCTGTTGTCTCCTAGGACCCTGTCCGGGAGGCTCACAGGACTCATTTTGAATTTGCCACAGGGAGTGAGCTCCCCAGGACGTAAATCTGTGTGATTTAACCAATAGTGATGTTGTCTTTAGTTCCCAAGGACTGTGGTGGGATTGGTGGGGGGAGGGTTGCTCTCCAGGCCACTCAAATTTTCCAAGATGAAGCAACAGAGTCTTCAGCGCAGCCAACTGGAAGGAAGCCCCTCCTGCACTTAGCCACTCTGCCGTCTTTGAAGATTAGCTGCACTTTAACTCGATGTCAGGGAGTGGCATTCCATACTCGCTGGGTCCATTATGCACGTAGCAGAAGTTTGACCAAGTAATCAATGCTTATGATGGATCCCACAGAGAGTGCAGTCTCCCTCCCCAGTGCTCCAGCCAGCGCTTCCCTGTCTAGTGGGCAGGCAAGTCTGGGGTTGCGTTAAAAGGAGGATTCGGGTTCAGCACGTGTGTATATATACACACATTCACACAGATACATACATACATACATACATACATACATACATACATACATATAATATGTAATGTATGTGGGTGTATACAGAGCATGTATGAATATGTATCTATGTTTATTATGAACTGAATTGTGTCCCCAAACTCACAAGGAGCCAGGATATATATGAACTATTTTGCTGGGGAAAACATGTAGTCAAGTATCAAAAGTTTACAGCTAATTATAAAAAACAGACATCTTAAGTTAATGATTTTCCGGCTTTTCTATAAATGCAAGAATCTGTGGTGACTTGACATTTTTCCTTCCATAAGCATCTTAACTAGCTAAAAGCCAGTCTAACCAAAGCACAGACCACGCCCTGGTCTCCACCCTGAATTCCCCTCAGGGTACATGGGGGTGGGCGGCTACAGTGGCTAAAGGCCTGACCCTGGTAGAACTGGAAAGCTTCAACATTTTTTTCTTTACAGTGGATCCTGACATTGCATTGTGATTTGACCAAGAGTGTTCCGTTCTCTGTTCCGTAACCTGGACTGAGTACCTATACCATTTTGAGAGCTTGGAAAATGCTCCCTACCCCCACAGTCTAAGTCACCTTCTTTTGTCAATTGAAATCTATTCTTACCTTCTTGAGAAAACATTTTATTCTGAAATGCTTAAGTGCAAGGCTTGGGGGGAGTTGGCGGGGGCGGTCTTCAGGGCTAAGGCCCAAGACCCCAGGAAGGAAGCTCCCCAGGGTTGGGGAGGAAGCGCCTCCACTCCCAGCGGGAGGAAAGGGCAGACCGGGCAAGAACTGTTTCCCCACGTGTAAAACCAGGCGGCGGCACATAAACCAAGTTGGGTCGTTTTAAACTTATCTCTGAAATGCTTAGTGAGAAAAACAAAGAGAAATACTTTTCAGGGGTGAAAACCGCAACAAAGGGGTTCACGCCCCTGGCGAGGGGTACCCGTTTGTCCTCCCCGGTTCAGTCTCTGCCAGCCCAACCTGTGGGAAAGCGGGAAAGTCTGGGACGTCTCCCGGAGGCTCAGAACTGAACGAGTCGGCTTAACACGGAAAAGTGCATCAGCAGCGGGTGTAGCACGCAAAGGGTAGGGCTGACGGGCCTCCCGGGCACGGTTCGGACCCGGGGCGAGCTCCCCTGGGGAGGGGTCGCTGTGACGTGGGGGACGGGGAGACAGCAGGGGGACAGACCGGGAGACAGGAACGGGAGAGACCAGGAGCCGGCCCGGACCGGGCGGACCCAAGAGGGGCGGAGCCAGACGGAGAGGCCCGGGGAGGGGCCGAGCAAGCCAGGAGGGGCGGAGCGAGTCCGGGGGCGGGACCGACCTGGGGAGGGGTCGGGGCTAGGCGGGGGCGGAGCGGACACGAGGCAGGAGAGGGGACCCTGGGCGGGGCCGGGGGCGGAGGAAGGAACCCAGACTGGCCGCCCGGGGCGTGGGCCGGGCGGGGTCCGGGGCCGGGGAAGGCGGAAGCACTGGGTGAGCCCGGCGGCTGAGTGCTGAGCCACTCGCCTTCCCGCTGCGGCCGGATCCGCGGAGCCCCGGGCCCCGCCGGCGCCATGGAGCTGCTGCTGGGCTTCTGCAACTGGAGCACGCTGGGCGTGTGCGCGGCGCTCAAGCTGCCGCAGATCTCCGCCGTGCTGGGCGCGCGCAGCGCGCGGGGCATCAGCCTCCCGAGCCTACTTCTGGAGCTGGGGGGGTAAGGCCCGGGGCGGCCTGGAGCCGACGAGAGCCCGGGGGAGGGAGCCTGGGCTCGGATAAAGTAGAGGCGGGGGAAGCGGAGCCGAAAGCGCCGGGTCGCGGGGAGTAGCGCTTGCCCCGGCCGCACACTTCCCGTCAGTAGTTGCTGCTCCCCAAGCCTTGCGGGGGCGAGGGGAGTGGGAAACGAATGACCGCGCACGCCCATTTTACAGACGAGGAAACCGACACTCGGCGAAACTGCCTCCGCCCGTTAGTGGCAAAACCAGCCATCCAGCTTTGAGCAAGGCTGTTTGCACGTGAGGCTCTCTCAGCTGCTTCCTCCCTAAACCCACGCCCCATCACCGCCCCTTTTCTCGGGTTTTGGTTTCTTCACCTGTAAAATGAGGGGTTGGACTATGAATTTTAAGGACCCTCTGGCTTTTAAAAGTTACACATTTGTGGGGGGCCGGTGTCAGCGAACGGAGAGCTTTTTAGGGGAGAGGAGGACTTGAACTTGAGCTGGCCCCTGAAAGGTGAGAGCCAAGACTGCTCCCACAGCGAGTTTATCCATCCAAATCCGAAGTGGGTGCGCTGACTCAGTATTTAAAGACCTGAACGAGAAAAGCAGAGTTAAAACTTAGTCGGAAAGACATAAAACCCAGTAGGCTAGCCTCTCACCCTGCAA